GAGGGCTTTGATTTTGTCCCACTGGATGCTGTGATCGAGGTTAACACGGATATAGTCAGATAGAGCTGATTTCGAGTCTGTGATGCTCTTTATTTCGGGTTTTGAGGGGTCTGGATGTTTCACCGTGCTCACAGTTACACGGGATATGGTATACTGTCCCTAGACGTTCCTGTTTTGGGGTGGATGGTTGTTTGCCTGTGGCTTTAATGGTGTTTTGGTTGGCGTTACGTCTCTTGAAGACCGTACCCACTACTCATAATCTGAATAAATAGTCGAATAGTCTGTCTTCGAAAGTCCTATATTTTCACTTTTCAGAAGCATCACAACCATTCATCCAATTTGATTTCTCGTATTTTGAATTCTAGTTTACCATTATTCCCCTTGAGTCGGCAGTGGCAATAACGCACGAGCTAAAAAAAATAATTCGTTATTGCTGCGTTGAGCAGTGGTCCACTCGTTCATTCGTCAGTTTCTCATCTCCATAATCCGATCTCTTGAGCCTCATGTCAGTCGTGAGAACAGTCTAAGAAGGCTCTGGCGGTCAGGCCCTTAGGCTTGAGGTGAGGTGCAGTATGATAGCTTGGGGGGTACAGCGTTCGCTCGTCACGCCGAGGGCCCGAGTTCGATTCTTCATAAGCGGACATTGTGTGAATCCCATTTCTGGTGTTACCTGATGTTAATATTGTCCAAGGTGACGTGGTGATAATACAGGTCCTGGAACGCCTATACCCAATACAGCCCATGCAATTCTGGATTACTTCAAGTCTAGATTACCCAGTTTCAGATTTCTCCAAAGAGTGAGTGAGTGAGTTTAGTTTTACGCCGCACTCAGCAATATTCCAGCTATATGGCGGCGGTCTGTAAATAATCGAGTCTGGACCAGACAATCCAGTGATCAACAGCATGAGCATCGATCTGCGCAATTGGGAACCGATGACACCAACCAAGTCAAAGCCTGACCACCCGATCCCGTTAGTCGCCTTTACGACAAGCACAGTCGCCTTTTGTGGCAAGCATGGGTTGCTGAAGACCTATTCTACCCCGGGTCTTCACGGGTCGATTTCTCCAAGATCTTTCGCTGTCCAGCCTGCACTAGCACCTATACGTGTGATTACATTGGTGACATACTGACATACAGAATATCTCCATTATCTTGAGTTGCTGCAATTCATTATCATTCTGGGCGGTGGGGTAGCCTAGTGGTTGAAGCCTTCGCTCGTCACGCCAAAGACCCGGGTTCGATTCCCCACATGGGTGCAGTGTGTGAAGCCCATTTCTGGTGTCCCCGCTGTGATATTGCTGGAATATTGCTAAAAGCGGCATAGAACTAAACTCACTCACTCATTGTGACTCTTGCAAGGAAAGTGTGTGTGTGTGTGTGTGTGTGTGTGTGTTGCAAGGAAAGTGTGTGTGTGTGTGTGTGTGTGTGTGTGTGATGATGATGATCCAGCTCGCTCGCTATGTGACTTGGCAAGAAGCGCATCGCCATGCCCGACTACGTGGATCGATGCTTAAGCTATCAATCACTGGTTCGTCTGGTCCAGACATAGTTATTAACAGCCGCCGTGATATATAACGAATATTGCTGACTGCGGCGCCATCACCTCAGTCGCTGGGTACAATGTGTGAAGCCCATTTCTGGCAACCCCCGCCGTGATCTTGCTGGAATATTGGTAAGAGCGGCGTAAAACTAAACTCACTCACGTCAATCACGCTCCTTATTCAGGTTATATTGGAGGAAATAACTGTTCGTATTAACGAGGTTCCGCGATAACATTTAACGGATGGTTCAGAAAATCCCAAACAAGACCAGTTCGCCAATGTTGATGTACACATATACGTTCACGTAGCTGTGAACGCCATCATGGGGTTTAAATTGTGGTTTATCTGTCCGGACCCTTCGTGGCGTGAGAATATTTCACGGGCTGGGTGAAGTCACCGAGGGTTATAGTAGAGTTAATCCCTAAACATATAAAATATAGATTGATATCTGTCATATTACCGGGGAAAGCACGTCGGCTGTCAAGCGCCCCGACCGCCATATTTGTTACATGATTTTTTCTCGTCCTCGTTGCCGGTGGGGACATTTGAATTGCTCTACCCCCTGTGTCTCGCGGGATGATGGAGTTTAATGGCGTCACGTAATCATGACAAAATAATTTCACTGCGTAGTTTAAAGTAAATCGGGCGACGTGACACGTTTAACACCAAAATACATTTCATTCTTTTTCAGTCTACCCAAGTGGGTTTTAGTTTTAAAACAAAAAGGACTAATCGGGTAAATGAGAGCTAGCATACATACGTGTTTGATATAGGTTAAACATGAAACTGACGAGAAGCCATTCGTTGGTAATGTCACGTGTGCAATACAATATCATAGATGTGGTTTGATCTGTTTTCAGCCTCATAACGTTTTGACAGCGTTTCTAATTTGTTAAGTGTAAATTTCAAAAGTATACTTTCTTTTGCAGTAAAGCGTTGTGACAAGGTTCTGTAATTGTGAGTGAGTGAGTGAGTGAGTGGTTAAAGCATTCGCTTGTCACGCAGAAGGCCCGGGCTCAATTCCTCACATGGGTACAAAGTGTGAAGCCCATTTCTGGTATCCCCTGTCGCAATATTGCTAAAAACCATAGCGGCGTAAAACCATACTCACTCACTCACATACCGCTCTACCTTTAACACCCTTGTCCCCGAGGTGACTCCGGACAGAGGAGGTCCCGAACGACGATGCTTGTCGTACGCAGTGGATTAGGTGGTCGTAAGTGGATTGGGTGATCAGGCCCGGTGGCGTGGTTGACGTCATCGTGTTCCAACGGTGTTGGGCGTTGCTCATCATATCAATCACTGGTTTGACCTTTCTATACTCAATTATTCATGCTGCTGTCATTGAACTACTGCCCAGAGCAATAATATACAACTTTGCGATACTTGTATCGGCGGCATTCGGCGCCGACGAGGGACAAGGCGATCAAAACGGCAAAGGGGTCGGGTTTCTTATATATAACTCCATGAAATGATAAGTCTCGAACCCGTGAATATCCGGGTTAGAGTTGGTTTTCAGTAACCCATGCTTGTTGTAAGAGGCGACCAACAGGATCGGGTGGTCAGGCTCGCTGACTTGGTTGACACGTGTCATCGGTTCCCAGTTGTGTAGATCGATGCTTATGCTGTTGATCACTCGATTGTCTGGTCCAGACTCGATTATTTACAGACAAATAGCTGGAATAGTGCGGCGTTAAACCACAAACCAACCCACCAACCTAGGGACGAAAACGGTACCACAAATACATTGGAGAGGACCGTCCCCCACTATGGGTGTTGTGGACTGCGTTTTGGTGACCTTAAGAGTGAGTGAGTTTAGTTTTACGCCGCACTCCGCAATATCCCAGCTATATGGCGGCGTTGTGACCTTAAGAGAGACTTTCACCTGGTGCAATGTGTGCCATCATAGATATCATGGACTGATGTTCATTCTATCGACCACCCGCTGACCTGACAATATTTCCCTCGGTGTAAAGACAATGATATAACACTAGCCAACACGGTGTAAAAACAGAGGGGACGTTGGTGAACAGGATTCAAAATCAATGAATGACGAACGCTAAATACACTCAGAGGAGCGATATCATGTTGTCGATATTAATAACAGCGCTACAACGAAACAAACCGTTTGGTCTTTATGAACCAGACCGTATGTTTGATCGAGAGATACAGAGAGTGCTTTCAACATTGACTCGTCCAGACACCGTGGCTTCGCGTCATAAATTACGAACTCTTTAAAGCTTAAAGTGAATAACTGATAATATTTGTGTCAGTATTCTCACAGTAAGTGGTTGTCGCCGTTCGGGAACCACAAGCCAGAGATGGGTCCCTTCTCTTGTCCAGTTATCGTCGACACTTGCCCAGCCCCGTGTTTGCAATGCTTTCACTTCGCAAATCCGTTAGTCGCGTTTCAAACAAATTCATTCGCTTGTTATTTTGCTCTTTCTTACTGCCTGTTTACACACGGCTGAATTAAAGCGATACTGATACTTTCATCTTTTGATAAAACCCGTACCACTTTGCCAGCACAGATTTAGACCCCGAGATTCCTTATGAACGGTGGGCTGTCCACATATACATTCATAGAGTATTATTGCAAAGTTTGGGGTGGGTCCGACCAAATAGCTCTTTAAAGACAAAGATAGAGGCGTTTGTCAAACGTATCCTAACGGGGACATATTTGAAATCCGGTAGTATTATAAGAGACAAATAAACCACGCTAACCAATGAAATGCCTGGAGTGAGCTATAAGTCCAATCCGATTAGGCGGTGCAAGATCAAAGGAAAGCCGCCGTCCTAGCGCGTGCGGTGTCTATTGGGCCCTGTGCTTGCCTGTTAGCCAAATCGATAACCTGTAATTAGATCATGTGTACACTGACCCTTTCTTTAGACAATATAGTTTTGTATCCTTATTTCGCAATTCTATGCCAACACCAGGCTGATTTAAAAAAACCGGTTGTGTTAATATCACGTTGTTACTGAGAAATCACGATTTGAATATTATCACGTGGTGAACGTGTTTCACGTGAAGCTCGCGCTATGTCAATTTCATCTGAAGCTAAGCTGCGTCAGTGGTTTTCATACGTATTAACCTCACCGCAAAGCTGCACATATATTTATATTTGAAAATATTCGTAGGTATTGACAATCACACCTTCCCCGTACAGCTATCTAACCCAGACCCATTCAAACAGTCCACACTGATCGGAGTCGTGTTAACTGCTTTGGAAAACATCCCTTACAGTCCGCGAGAGGCCATGTTTGCTCGGGTTATGAGAAAATAATTGTTCATGATGTTTATCCAAACATATTGTTGTCTCTGTGATTATCCAAGGCCGGGAAACCGAGATAGAGGATAGCAGCGTTCACTTGTCGCGCGCCTTGTGACGTCACAGCACGATCTCGCCCAGCGGAGTGTGAGAGGCTGTCTCACCACAGTGTCAGTTGTTCTGTGCTAGCGATCGCGGGAACATATTCAGTGAGAGAACAGCGCTCTCAGTCGGGTCTGGATGATGCGGAAACCGTATATGTAAACATGGGTTTCGACACGGAAAAATTTGTCAATGGGATAACTGATGATAAAAAGTGTGCGCTGTGTCATGGAGTTTTAGACAATCCTGTCCGTGCACCTTGCCAACATGTGTTTTGTTCTGGGTGCATCCTTCCTTGGGTGGTGCGGCATGGGAGCTGCCCCCCCAAGTGTCAGACCCTCACCCCAGGGGACCTGGAAAACGTGCTGCCGCTGAGGCAGGTGATTCTACACCTTAGGGTCAAGTGTGACTTCACGGAGCGGGGATGTACTGAGATATTAAGATTGACAGATTTGGTTGACCATACCCAGGAATGTCAACACCGACCCGTCTGCTGCAGTAACCCCGGGTGCGGGGTAGTGGTCAGTCTCAAGGACCTGTCGGACCACGAGCAGACCATGTGTCAGTATAGACCCGTGGGGGTGTGTCAGATTGGGTGTGGTCTCGTCCTTTTCCAAAACACGTCGGAAGAACATGATTGTGTTGGGGCGCTGAAGAATCACATCAACAATCAAAATCTGAAAGTTGGTGGTTTGGAACAAGAGATTAAAAAGGATCTCGTTTAAATTTACGAAGAGGGAAAAGGCTCTTTTGACACAAGTGTCGAGCTTACACAGTGAAATCCAGCTCCAAGCTCTCCGCTTCCAAAGGAAACTAAATGATTACAAAAATCAGCTTGCTAGAATGACGAAACTCGAGCAAGAAACAACCAAGGTAAGCCAGACATCTAATTAGATTATCTTCGTATGTCCAACCAAAGGCCAGACGATATATCGTATTTCTCATTTAATCTTCTCAGTTTATTAAAGCACTAGAGGATGTGAACACGAGCCCTGAGTTACCTTTAGAATCTTCAGGTGTCTCTTGTTATCAGCCAGCGTCTGTTTGTGTAACAGCTAATTATAGAAACGGCTTCAAATATGAAACGACACCCATTAAATTAAGAGAATATTAACTCCAGTTTCAAACCATGTGGCGAAATTACCCATTTCTCGTTACATATTCGTAAATGTAGACTGTCGGAATTAGGAGATAGTTGACGCAATGTGAGAGACGTTGTGATAGGCATGACACGGTCGGGTCACGGGGCTCATCTTTCTGACCATTACTCGCTACCCTGGGCCGTTTTGTATTGTGAATGTTTGACCTGGGCTATCCGAATGAGCAGTTCGTCGAGAGGGTCGATTGAGGGACTGCAGATCAAAGGGAAGGCGTTTCGCGGTGTTTGTTCAAATCTATTTTCTCTTCCGACTTGCCTAAGGCCAAGGTTAGACGTCCTACTCTCAGCAAAACCAGAAGTGGCGGAATGGGTTAAAATGAACTTGATCATTATTGTGGTAAACCAAAAACGGCGTTGAACCATGTGACGATTTCGTCGTGTTTGCTGGACGAAAACGGATCTACATGTAATATCAGGGTTGTAAGTGCGAATACCTGAATGCTATGGCACATAACGATACGTAAACGTGACCATTGGGTTTTGATAGTGTATCCCTAACATACTGTACGGAAGATGTAATCTTAATCTGTCATTGGCGTTGTATTTTACACACGCATGCGTGTGTAACGGACGTCGCTGCGAAGCCGTGTTTTTTAATGTAGGTTACTGTTTAGTTGTAATTCTTTAGGAACAGTGTCACGACTGTAAGTGTGGGAGAATGATGCGCGCGATGGAGCAATGTTTTATTGCCAGGGCGTTTAGGCTTGTTTACATAGTGTTTGTCAACTCGCCTCTCTTCACACGCTTCGCTTCCCGAGAGCCATAAATTTGTGAGAACTCAGGCGTAATTTATGACCTCTTGGAAACGTCCACGATGAAAGCAAAATGTCAGCGGGATTTAATACATTGTCTTGTTGGTTTTCCGATGAACACTACCTCATCCAGAAGTCGACAGATTCAATTAATGTGTGATATATTAGCATTGTAACTCTTAAGTGTTTTCGTAGAATGCTGTTACGCCATTCCACTCTTATCGCGTTTTGTTAGTGTTGAGCATCTGTTGAAAGCAAACTTCTACTAAATATTATCATGGCCGTTGGGATCGATCACAACTTGGCACAATATTTGACGTGCTGCAGTAACAGTCTGTCTGCAACTGTAAATGATTTCCCAACACTGACGGACATTAAATTTATGGCTGGTTCTATTGATAGTAGTTATGGTGAATGATAGCTCGGACAAATGACCAGTCCGGCTGTCAAATGGCAGTAAAAGCCATCAGAGGTCGGTTGACCTCTCCCGAGTGCTCGCGTGTTGCTGTGTGGAAAGTAGTATGATTGGAAATGGTACTTGATCGTTCCCTCGCAGAGTTGAGTTATAATGATTATTAATTATGTCTGTGGCGTAATGATGCCAAATGGACACTGTGGGGGGAGGAGGGGGGCGCCATGCCATATGGTCTCAATGGGAAGAGAGACTAAAAGCCTCGTCTCATTAAGAAAGGAAGCATGGTTACCTGGCGAGTGAACGCGTTCTGACATCTTCCTGAAACGTAGTTATCCAACAACTACTTACTGTGTTCACGAACTATGTTAATAGCACGTGCTCGGTGCCATCACATATGTGAAGAGACCATTCCGATGATAAATTATACAATACTAAAGTGATGTTACACTTCGAACGTCGAGCAGTTGATTTGGGAAGGTACGGCAAGGGAGAACGGTCCCTTCTGACCATGAACATACATGTTGAGGCGATCACTGCCAGTTATAAATAAAACACGATTAACGCATGTCTTCACTCTGCTAATTACACAGTAATTACCAATAATGAACAGAAACATTAAGATAACCCAAAATGGCCTCGGTACAGATAACATTCGCGGTCGATATACAAATTAAATCCTTGGACCGATGGTGAAGGGTCGCTCAAACATCCGTACTAGCGTTATAACGGGGCGACTTGAACTAGCGGACTGTTGGCCGTCTTCATGACGTAAGACTAAACGTGACTCCGTTATTTATGATGACAAGTCACACTGAGGTCTTGGCGAGGTCTCCGTAGGGTCAGACCACCCCTGACTATCTCAAACCAGGGTCGTGAGATGTTAACACGGACGTTTCTTTGTCATCAATTGTGTGTTGAAAACGTATTGGTTTCACCTGATATGATTTTACTTTTTCAAGTTCTGTTCAAGACGTACGACTTGCTCAACACTATTCTGAGTTGTTATGTTAATATTGATGTATCATTACTCAGTATATGATTTGGTAATCGGGGTAGCGTAGTGGTTAAAGCGTTCGTTCGTCACGCCGAAGACCCAGGTTCGATTCCCCACATGGGTACAATATGTGAAGCCCATTTCTGGTGTCCCCCGCCGTGATATAGCTGGAATATTGCTAAAAGCGGCGTAAAACTGAACTCACTCACTCAGTCAGTTTAAAATACATTTGATATTTAATCAGTTCGAAAATATTCACAGGAAATAAATAAAATGATAATTTACCAATTTTCTAGAAATCTGTGTTGAATATTTTTCTCCAAATGAACATTTGCTGGGTCCATTATTTCAAGAAAATCAATTGTCCTCCTTTACAATGAAGGCATTTTACAGGGGTTTCAATTAATTACCATCAGTGAGTCTCTGCATGCTGAACACTTGAGCTGACAATCTGTTAACATTCAATGATCAGAAGTTTATTTTCTTTCTAGAAGCAACTGTATGGTTGTAAATTACAATTATATTCACAACTAAACTATTTCAATAAACTGTTAAAAATGTGATAAAAATCTAATATATTTACACATTTCTAAATTAAAAGAACAATAAAATATCTTTTGGAAACAGATTGTCCTTTACAGCTGCCAAATATGTTAATGTTGTTTGATTGACACCTGTCAGTCAAGTATGATATAGACTAGACATACACCTTTCTATTAAGCTATTTCTTGTTGTTTATTGGGAAATTGATCCTATATCGAAACATGAAGCTGGCTCCCTTGATTAAATAATTGTCAAGAAATGGTCTACTTTATTAATCTATCATGGGTGATTTATCACAACTGTATGTGGTGTCTAGTTTCACCGACCAGACAAGGTGGCCAGTAGACCTGAATACTGTCAGGCTAAATGTAACTGTCAGAGTCATAAGCTACCAATACCTGGGGGGCATCTCCAAACTATTTTGTCCATTTTACGTGTACAGTGCTTGAGGTGAGATTTTTTTAATGGTACTTCTAGTTTAAAGCGAAATGCCTTTTAACAGATTAAAATACCAGGAACATATCTTTGATTACACAATGCCATTGAGAAAGTAGTCCAATGTAACATATGTTACATTTGGGATTACACTTTCTTAGTAAAGTACAGATTCTAGTACATTTGTTGGGTTGGGTCCCATCTGGGATTCAAACCCACACCCTCCGAGTCAGGCACCTAATCGCCAGCACACAGAGTACTAGAATCTGAACTTTACTAAGAAAGTGTAATCCCAAATATAACACATGTAACATATCTTTGATTTACATTTTATACAGCATTTAGATTAAGATTTTTGAATTAGTGTTGTGATACTTTGGTTACCTCCACTATAAGTATGAATTTAGTTTCCTGGAAATGGTGATTCCGAAATATAAACAAAACCATGAATACTACCAAACGGTAGTAATATAATGTTTGGCAAGACTATATATCAGGTCATACTTATTAAATGATCTTATTTTCTATAATGGTTTAGGATCAATTAGGTAGCCTGGTGGTTAAAGTGTTAGCTCGTCATTCCGAAGATCTGGGTTTGGTTGCCCACATGGGTACAAAATGTGAAATGGGTACAATTTCTGGTGTCCCCCGACATGAAATCATACACTCACTCACTCACTCACTCTAATGTTTTGCTTTCATATCAGAAATATTTCATCAATGCATTGCAACAATACTGCAAATATATCTCTTTTTGTGAATAAGAAATCATATAATTTACATTTAAAAACAGAAAAGTAGTTCATATATTAATAGTTTCATTGCAGAGTCAACTATTTCACTAGTCTGATTCTGACATTCATACCTCCTGTAAATTTGATCAAAAGTTTTGAGATGCTCCCCGACAAGACGGATGATATAAGCAGAACAGATTAACATTCCAACATTTAGGTGTTCAGCCTGTAACTGCAGTGTGACGGAGACACCCACTATCTTGTGAATGCATTACTTGTCAAAGTACAGGATTAGTTAGCCTCGTAAATGCCTCATTGCAAATCTGCCTGATTGAAATAGCATGAGCGTCAGCTAGCTTGTCTGTTAATAAGCACTATCCTTTTGTTTTACTCTGTTAAACATAAGCTTTATTGCAGAATGTTGACTCTTTGACACTCACGTTAATCCCGGGAGATTAAGTTATGATGTGCAAGTGAGACAACAATCTTATTCCGACTGTTACATATCTGTGCTGGGGAATCATGCCGCTTGGGGGGCAACTTATTGTATTTATGTATTGACATTGTCGCCAGTATTTATGAGAATTACGTTTGATAAAATATTTTAATCACTTCGGAATACTATATATCAAATGATTTTCTGAAATATAAGGTTTTCTTGCAAACAGAAATGTCTTGTAGTAAAGGAAATAACCTATTTTGTAACACTATTTACAAGTCCAATCAAAATTTGTTAATAAGTTCTTGTTCCAGTCCATAGATATTTTATGTTTATATAATGTTAAATAAGTGAGAGATTATGTCAAATCATATGGACATATTTGGTTGTTCTTAAACATTT